ATTGGAGATAAGAATCTCATGGACTTTCCTGCCTGGGCTGGCTTTGAACTGAGATCCTCAGATCTCAGCCTCCTGAGTAGCTAGGATTACAGGTGTGAGCCCCGGGTCCCTGGCCAATGATGTTTGTTAGGTAGTTACATTTGTTGCATAAACACCATAGCACATAAAAATGTTGTGACATTTCTAATGCTTCTTCCTCCTCCTCTGCCCTCTTTATTCCCTTCTGGGGTATCTGGGGAGATGGTGGGGGTGTTCCTTGAGTAACCCCTGGAGTCCTTCTACAGACGGTCATCACCACCATGACCACCCTGAAGAAGAACCTAGCTGATGAGGACGCCATATCCTGCCTGGTCCTGGGCACTGAGAACAAGGAGCTCCTGGTGCTTGACCCCGAGGCCTTCACAATTTTGGCCAAGGTCAGTGTCAGGTTTGGCCCTGAGCAAGACCCACTGCATTCTCTCTCTGAGATTCCAGTTAGTTCTAAGCAATATACGTTCATTGTAGAAAAATTAGGAACTACAGATAAACATAAGGAAAATATGCCAGGTGCTTGTGGCTCACGCCTGTAATTCTAACTACTCAGGAAGCTGTGATCTGAGGATCACAGTTCAAAGCCAGCTTAGGCAGGAAAGTCCATGAGACTCTTATTTCCAATTAACCACCAGAAAACCAGAAGCGGTGCTGTGGCTCAAGTGATAGAGTGCTCACCTTGAGCTGAAGAGCTCAGGGACAGGATCCAGGCCCAGAGTTCAAGCCTCATGACCATCAAAAAAACACATTAGCATTGTAAGGGCCATGTACACCCATTACATAGATACATCATATACAGATGTATTTACTCTGGAATACATTCCGTTTTTTCAGTTTTTCATTATTACTAATTTCACTGCAGTAGTCTTCTTTGCTCAGTATCTTTGTGTGTATAAGTACTTCTGACCATGCCTCCTCTAGGCAGCAGTTTGTCCAAATATATAAACTAAAGGGTTTTGTTATTGTTTTGTGCTGGTTGGTTCTGGGGCTTGAACTCGGGGCCTGGGCCCTGTCCCTAAACTTTGTTGCTCAAGGCTAGCACCACTTTGAGCCATAGCTCCACTTCCGATTTTCTGGTGGTTAATTGGAGATAAGGGTCTCAGGGACTTTCCTGCTTGGGCTAGCTTCAAACCTCCATCCTCAGATCTCAGTCTCCTGAGTAGCTAGGATTCCTAAAAGGTTTTTTTTTTTTTGGGGGGGGGGTCCGGTCATGGGTCCTGAACTCTGGGCCTGGCGCTATCCCTCAGCTCTTCAGCTCAAGGCTGGCGCTCTACCACTTGAGCCACAGCGCCACTTCCGGCTTTTTTTCTTTTTGCATATGTGCTGCTGAGGAATCGAACCCAGGGCCTCATGCATGCAAGGCAAGCGCTCTACCACTGAGCCACCTTCCCAGCCCCTCCTAAAAGGTTTTTTTGGTTTGTTTGTTTTACATAATGCCAAGCTTCCCTCCAACACAGAATGAGTGAGGAGATTAGGACTTCAGACAAGGGACATACCAGGGAGGGACTGTGCTCTGAGAAGTCAAGATGTTTGTGTCCTTTCTTTACAGATGAGCCTCCCCAGCGTCCCTGTCTTCCTGGAGGTTTCTGGCCAATTTGATGTGGAGTTCCGGCTTGCAGCCGCCTGTCGCAATGGAAGCATCTATATCCTGAGAAGGTAGCTATGTCAGGAGTGTGGGGAATGGCTCAGAAACCTGGTGATTTCCAAAGTTTGCAAGATGAGCCAGGAGCTTTTGGACTGGAATTTGGGGATGAAAAGAGCTGAGATTTTTTTTTTTTTTTCAGGGTGGAGGGGGTCAGTCACGGGGCTTGAACACAGGGCTTAGGCGCCATCTTTGAGCTCTTTCTCTCAAGGCTAGTGCTCTACTGCTTTGAGCCACAGCGCCACCTCCAGTTTCGGATGGTTAATTGGAGATGAGTCTCAAGGAGACTTTTCTGCCTGGACTAGCTTCAAACTTCAATCCTCAGATCTTAGCCTCCTGAGTCGCTAGGATTACAGGCATGAGCCACCAGCACCAGCTGTGAATTTTACAAAGAGTCTGAACCCACACATGTAAATAGTGTCTGAAAGCTTGAGATGGCAGCTAGCAAAGCGAAAACCCCCCAGCAGGGCGTTAATGCTTGAACAGTGTGTGCTGTCACAAGGTGGAAGGAACAGAAATGGCAGTATTCGTCACATCACTTTATAGTGTACTTTATAGTACTCCACCATTAGTTTTTTTTTGTTTTTTTGTTTTTTGGGGGGAGGGGGTCCGGTCATGGGGCCTGAACTCTGGGCCTGGGTGCTGTCCCTCAGCTCTTCAGCTCAAGGCTAGCGCTCTACCACTTGAGCCACAGC